ATATTAATTTGATTGCTACAAACTTAGTGCTGTAGAATTTTCTTTACTTTTAAAGACAATATCTTTAAAAATATTCACAAAGACAGACAGTATGGAGCATCACAGAGTACTTTCATTAGTGCTTTTACTTCAGTCCTGTTAATGTAAGTTGCCTATTTCCATCAGATGCATTATTGCAATGCTGTAGCAATGCATATTTGTGCAAACAATGTACAGCAATGATTGACTGATTGATCGACGAATTCATTCATTAATCAATTTGTCGCTCATGATCTGTACGTATATCTCTTTTCAGTCCTAATGGTGTTCACTTGGCATCCTGGTCCTTTATTTCCTCGTCTGATGGGACAATCTGTGTAGCTGTAATTACTGGTATGTTGGATGAAACAGCACATTAGCCTCCATCATCACGAAGTAGTTTGGTGATTAATAAAAACCCTGAGCAGAGACTGAGTAAATGTATGACTATGAACAAACTATGAACAAACCCTTGCAATTTACAATTAACAAAGTCATTGCTAGGTTCAAATCTGTCACTTACAGGGGAATTAAAGTGATTTACCACAAGATTTGTATTATGAGCATCATAAAGAGACTAATTTAGCTTCTGTCCAAGTACCTGATGCCTCTGTTACTCCTGTATTTCCTCCTAATTTCTGCTTGTTTTGACTTCAAAAATCTAATTTCTGTCTGTCTTTTCTCTTTATTTAGAACGTTCCTGTTATATGTGAACACTGAAGAGGCACAGTGACATAATCTGATATCTAATATCTATTGTCTGAGTGCTGTGGCTCATCCACTTATTTCTTTTTCTTGAAATGTTCACGACCTTGGAATTTAATCTTATTCGACCCATGCACTCATTGTAAGTCACTCTTGATAAGAGTGTCGGCTAAATGCTGAAAATGTAATGCAATGTCTCACTCTCCTGAAATGTAATTTTTGTGTCCTTTTCATAGGTCATACCACATGGGGTGGCGTTTATCTGTTGCTATGAGCTGGGTCACTGCTGGATACTGAGCCATAATGGATACACTGAAAATGTTAGCAACAATTTATAAACAACAGAGAGAGAGAGACATAGATTAAATGAAAATCAATTGTTAGAGAGAGAACTCCACTCTGTGGTGAAGCATCATCCAAATCAATTGACAGAATGTAAGACATGTCAGGTATATGTGTGTGTTGTGTATGCTCCTGCAGTATGTATTTGTAAATTGATTGTATTCAGCACCATGCAAATAGTGGCGACTCTTTTTACATTTAAAGTCTACATAACTCATTCAAGCTTACCATCTCAATTTCTAATTACTGCTCTTCATTATCAGCGGACCAAAACTAAGGCTAAAACAGCTGCAGTGCATTGCACAGGTCCATGTATTGTCTAACTTTTAATTAAAGTTTAAGGGTCACTGTTCAAAATGTGGAGTGGGCTTGTTTTTCATTGAGCCTCAATTGAACATTTTCAACAGCAGAAAATTGTGCCATAGAATTTACTCTTACACATACAATGTGTGCAAGTAGAAGCTGAGTAACACTGTAATTAAGTGCTGGTTACTTAATCTCTTTCTTCAAATATTTCTTCCTGTGTCCAAAAATGGGAACCACAAGAAAGTACTCGAGTGAAAACAAGTGCTAAAACAGAAGTTTGGCTAAAAGCAAGAAGACACAACTTATATATGATGTGGATTAAAGGGTTCTTATATTCTGTAAGTGGAAACACTGTAGTAAACCGAACAGATGTAAGAAATGCATGTTCTTGCTCTCTTATATTTAACTTGTCATGAGTCATAGTGTTGTTGTTCCCCCTCCATATCTATACTTAGATTTTATTCAGAGAAGACATCACTCAAATCTCATGTAGATGTGTTTGTCTTGTCACTGTGCTAGCAGCACAGCACTGGCGGCATTTGAGACAACTATTACTATATAACCTGTTGAAATGCTTTTGTAGATCTTGTGATTGTAAAAAAAAAGGTGTAGAAATGTCCCCTTCACCCTAAAAATGGAAAAATTGCACATACTGTCTGTCTTTATGCTTTTTGTTTGTTAGGAATCCCAAGACAGGAATACGTGGCATGTAGGCAAGTCTTGCAAAGAAAACCACTGGGAGCTATTGAAGGCTTTCTTTCCTCCCACTTTTAAAACAACTACGCTGTTCTTTAGTCAAAGGCCCATTAAATTGCAACATATGAAGTAATGAAATAAGCTGACTTTGTGTCCAAGAAGGAAGAGTTCTTGGTGGAAAGTGGGATGACTGCTTGACAACTAATATATATCGTTTTTTGCAGTTTTATATATTTTATGTATTCCATTAATCTTCACTGTTTCATTATTACTTTCACTATCAAAGACAACAAGAAGCTAATGCTCCGCTCTGAAAGAGAATTATCCCCACCCACCCCCTGGAAGAGCTTTGTCCCAAACAGCTTTAAATCTGCTCATAGACAGACAAATGACTTAAGAGGCAACATAAATTAAACACATAAGTAATTCATTTCATAAATACGGAGCTGTTAACTGAGACCATGGTAAATCCATGTTATGCTGTTTATTGTGCATAATGTGAATAATGCAGGATTACATGCTTTTTCTATTCAGTGATAAATAGCTGTGAATCTTTAAATCTGTAAACACGGTTTATCCTGCTGTCCACTGATATGCATTATTCTGCATTATCCATGAGCAAAGACTGACAAAAATGATAACAACTGTGTGAAAGTGGTGAAAATTATCAGCATTATTTCACATGCTGCCCACGGCTGATTATGTTGAACATTTTCAGAGCTGACACTACGAGACTGTCTGAACTGACAGTTTATTATACTGATTGTCCAGTGTTGTTTATGACGCATACTGTTTTCTGTGTTGACCTTGCAAACTGGATTCTTTTTAGAGAAATATACGCTACTCTATTGCAATGTATTATTACCTATTGCAGTGTATTGTGTTTTTTACTGTACTGTATTATGGGGAACTGCAAGTGAAGTGTATCCATTAATTCCCAAACACTGCTTTAACTGAATGTCAGTAAGTGAACAAATGCATAACACCAAAACATGCTAATTGCTGTTCACTGTGGCGGATATGATAAAGACAAGATTATTTGTTTGCACCCTGGCTATTTGAATCAGCCATGAGTAAATTTGGCAAAGTATACTGTGTGACAGATGATCCCATCTGCATCACAGTTAGCGACAAGAGTGGGACTGTCAGGTGTCTCATCAACACATTTCAACAGGAAAAAGCTCAAGGGGTAGAGGCACCAGAGCACAAACACCCTGTCCAATCAATCAGAGCGTATTAATCTAAGATACAGCTTGACTTTACCTCTTTTAACAAACATGTCAAAAGCAATTAGAAATTAATGTTCAAGCTACATTTTGGGCACAAAGTAAAAAAATGAATGACTTTCATTATTGGGGTCAGATGTTGCTTCAAAAGGAACAATCTCATGATTAAATTCAGAATTACAGTGTATAGGAATAAGTTACTGGTTACTGTGACTTCAAAACTAATTTAAAAGTGATTCATATAGATATATATGTTAACATTAAGCACAGGGTGTTTCACTTTACTGAGATCTTGTTGAAGGCTTGCAGACAACATATGAAAGCATCTTGTGTTTAATTTGGTCATTTTATATCTGATTTACTATGTTTCCATATAAGGGTACAGTATTGTCTTTGCTTGCTTTCCTGTTTCTTTTCTCTTGCCTCTGTATATAATGTAACCCCCGGTTAGCTCATGTGTGCTGAGCACCTTTGGGTTTATGACACTATAATAAAAGTATATTCAGTCATCCATTCACCACAATAACACATCACTCAAGCAGTTATTAGTGTCATTTTTAAGATTACGCTCCCACCTACCAGGTGCTGTAAGGCAAGAGAGAACACAAAGTCCGGATCTGGACCGGATGAATACTAAAGTTACATTTGTGGACTGAATCCATTGAGCCGAGTTTTTATGTTTGCTTTGCGGTGATAAGTTCTCTATTAAAAGTAACACATTCTCAGCATGTGAATAAGTCCAAGGCTACCAGCAGTATGAAGAAGTACTTTATATGCTGCATACCGAGCTTGATTATACTGCCCTGTTAGACATACTGTAACATTAAGTCAGAGGAAAGACTGTAGAACATCTGTCTCAATGGTCCCCTCTGTGACCTTGATATCAGTTACTGCAAGTAGTGATGGAAAGAGAAGTTGATTCTCATGCTAAACTACATTCACTTAAATAGTGTATTAAACTTTTTTTTGCCAGATGAGAATCTATGACTCCTATTAAAACTGATATAAGCACTTCAGCCTGTACTGTCTCATATGGAGTTCCTTACATTATCTGACTGACGATGATATTTGGTCAGTGTGCTTCATTTTTAATCAAGAAATCTTAAGACAGGTGTTGCAGAAAAGCTTGCAGCTTGTTTTGGTCTGATAAAGACAATATAATAAAACACTAATTGTGTTTGCAAAAAAATCATGATCTTACTCTATGGTGAATGGAGAGCGGCTGGCAGTAGGCCTACATATCCGAGGATTAACAGCACAGTTTGAATCCAGTCAATCACACAATTAAGGTAATTAAACCTTTCGCCCTTTTCGCCCTGGAGAGCTGCACATTTCTAGTTTATTACCCGGGTGTTGTGTGCCAGTTAGTTGACCTTGGAGGGCCAGTGGGTTAGAATAAGAGGTGATGGCTCTCTGACTCTACTTTACTTTCTGTGCTCAAGCTGCATTTCTTCACTCGATGGTGGAAAACCCTTCAGAAAAGTTGTGCACTGGAGCCAAAGAGCAGCTTCCTCCAACCCCCCCTTACCCTTCCTACATGCAACACACAGCACAGCTAAATCACAGCCAGCAAGCAAACATGAAGAGTCAAGGTGGTAGTGTGTTAAAACAAGCTCACATTAGGTCACTTCCTCAATGGTTGCAATGGTGTTTTCAGTTGCAGGGAAACATGGTGCCACAAAAGCTCGAGAGTAAGATTAGACTTACCTTCAGCAAGCAGGCGCACTGCATGCACAAAGGAGGGGTCCAAGCTGTTTTTCTCGGCCACCAGTTCAGGTAAGTGCTTATCTGGATGCATTATTATCGCAGCGGACCTCTCTCCACCGGCCGTGCAGGTGAGACGACAGGAGGAGTGCTGAGCGTCGGAATGCAACTGTAAACCTTCCCGCTCCTGCCTTTTTCTTCTGGAGGGTAGCTTCAGTCTGCCAGTCTTTATAAGCAGCACCACAAGCAAAAAAAATAAAAAAACAAAACAAAAACAAACAAACAAACAAAAAATAGTCGCCCCAGATCTCCGAGATGCTTGACGGGGGTGTGATTCCTTGATGAGGTGTGAGCGACTGGAGGTTGACTTGTGATTCAGAGGTGTGAGCCCATCTCTGCCACCGCTGCCTGCTGCCTCTCCTCCTCGGCACTCCGCCAGACTCTCAGACTCACTGGGTCTGCAGACCGCGCTGCTCCCCGCCCCTCAGCAACATTATTGGCCATATTCTGGGACTGGCGCTGCTGGAAAACAAAGACGGTCCCCGCTGAGAGCATACCAATTGGGCGATGCGCTCGGAGGGAATGGATATAAAAAAAATAAATTAATTAAAAAAAAGTTAAGGTTGCACTTGGTCGGGTCTGCAATAATCTCACTCCAAAATGGAAGATTCTGTTGGGTTATTGAAAGTGTTAAGTCCCCTTATTAGGACATAACATTTGATACTGTACATTTACACTATAAATGTTGTGTGGCTGCAGAAATAGGCTTAAAGTCAATCCCAGCTCACACTACAGCATATTATAAAGACATTTTTCATTTTAGTCAGGCAGTTTAAAAAAAAAAGGCTATCAGTGGAGTTTGAATTATAGCTGACTTTGATATGATAACGTTTAATTATAGCCACATCAGTAATATCCTACTAGTAAGAGATAGTGCCTTATCTCTGAGAACAACATTTCTTATCCAATTAGTTTCTCGATTCAGCCGAGGCAACCCGTGATGTACGGTGGCCTGTGAGTTCCCATTAAAGTTCACTAGAGTAGCTTGTACCTCTGGAGAACTGTGAAACACGTATTGTGTCGCTGTCCGTGGTGCTGAACACTGTCTGCACTGAGGACTGGACTGAGGTTTTCTCTGGGTGGTGTTACATCCAGCATGTGGATATGTGGTCACATCTGAAGCTGTTATATTCTAAATTAAAGTACTTTCTTTCTTTAATTGGGCTCCCTGTTAGTTATTTATACACCCTCTCTCCAAATTAAGTCCTACTGGTCTTGAGTGCTGGAGGCCCTCACAGGTTAGAAGACGTGATCTACTCCAACATCTCTGTTAAACGATCCAAAAATAAGTGTGGCCATATTATTATGGAGTAAATTACTGTTTGATTATTTGAGTGCTGAATTGAATCACATGGTTTATGGGACGGGAAGGCAGCAATGGGCCCATCAGCTCATTGTAACTGTTAATAAAAGAGTGGAGCTGTGATGTTAACCTCTAGTCCTACTGGGGCTCATGGAGGTCAAGTCAACTGCTTGTTAAGTGAAATAAATGAAATCAGTTTTAATGTCAAGTGAATGTTTCATTATGTCCTAATGAAGTGAGGTCAGCAATATACGCATTAACGTTTGCATCTCATATAAAATGCCTCTCTTGTCCCTTAGCTTTGATATGGACTGGAATCCTAAAGTCATCTGCAGCGCTGCTTTACTTACTCACAAATTAGTTTTGAGCAGAAGAGGCTGGTGAATGACAAATTCTAGCTCTACTTGACCTTTAGAGCCTATTCTGACGGCGCTGATCAGAATCATAAACACCATAGACACTGGTGGTTGGTGGACGGTAGTTCATTTTGATGTTATTCATGCTTCATTTCCCTTCATATGCACCAATTTGGTCAAATTATTTATTGTTAAAATCAGAAATCTTGTCATTGTACAGTTAAGAGACACAACTACATTTGTCTGTAAAATCCAATATTGTTTGTTCAAACATATTAGGGTTAGGGTTGTGTTATACTACACATTAAGGACTGAACATATCAATAATATCGTTTCAGTTTGATGTGAATGTGCACAGAACTTTTATTCTACATCTAATTGTTGCTACTCTGGGAGCATGTTGTCATTCATCATTACTGTAATTTTTCTTGTTTTTGTAATTTGACCTATGTGGTTTCTTGGCATTGAAGATGATTGTGTTTGTTTGGGAGAAAAAGAGATTGTGTCAGTTTAACTATTTTGTTAGTTAACTTTTTTTCTTATGCACAACTGTATAAATATGTAGAAAATAATTCATCTTATTTGATATTAGCTCTCGCTAACGGCTATTTCTGCTAATTTCTGAAATGCCAAGCAGGTCTTGAAGGAGCCGGTATTGATCATCACTTCCCACTTGCACATCCTCACCTTTTCTTTCTTTTAAATTAATGATTAATCTTTCTCTGAAATGAGACACAACTTTATTTTTCTGCTTGGTAGCCTAAAACAAGTGACTATAGGCCAATGTTGGACAGTGCTATCTTTGTATTTCATGCTTGCTGATTTAATTTAATTCAGTGAATGATTTATGACAGTGATGCTGATAACCCTGCTGATGTTACAGATGGCAATGATGACTATGACTGTTAATATATTTGAATGTTGAGAATGGCTGTAGATTTATAAAGCAGGTAGGCATGAAAGACATAAACGCACACAATGTAGCATTAAAGGAAAGAGAAAAAGAAATATGGATAGGGGAAATAGCTTGTACATTGATGTTTGCAGAGAGAATACTTTCATCAGCTACACATCACATTGCATAAAGAATATTTTGATTGACTTTAATTTAGAAAATCTCTGTATCAGTGCTGAAACGTGTTTTAATTTAGATTTAAACACATTCTTACAGCTCTCTAGTGGTCAAAGTGCAACATTGCACATTACATTGCTACATCAATGTGATGCAGATATGTTTTTTGAGAGTTTCATTCCTTTTTTTTATATTTTATGAAAATAGTGGTGCTGCAGTCAAGTAGTAATCTTATCTATAATTACCAGCGGATCTAAGGTGTTACCAACGAAGCTTAATACCAGTTATTTTGTGAGGCCTTTATGTCTTTTAAAAAAAATGTTTAATAGCAAGAGTGGCTCTTAATGTATAAACATGTTCAAACATTCTTTTACTCAATATTTTAAAGTTTGTTTCCAATTCCCTTCACAGTTTAAATGTCTGTAAAGCACTTCATGTATTATGCTAAAACAAAAAAAAAGAAATGTACCTTGTCTTGCCTTTTGCATACCTCAGTTTTTCTACTTTCATTACAGTGTGAGTCTTTCATCTGTAATTCTGTTTTGTCTTATGCATTCAGTGAGCCTATGGAATATTTCACACTAATGCATTTTGTTTACTTGTATTACTCAGTGTTACATTCCACTGCCTCTTTATTTTGTTAAGCAGGGAAGTGTAACCGGTGTCGGCAACTTTGAGTATCTACTCGTGCACACATTTTTGGCACAGTTAACTGGTGCTGCTTGTCTTTGCAGACATTGTGTGCTGTGCTTTGGCACTTTATGTATCACTACAGACAGCTGTTTGCCATGCTTGTGAATAGTGATTACCAACTTTGCTCTGTTAAACTTTTATTTGTCACTCAAGACAGGTTTGTTGCCTGAAACTCCACACAGACACAGATAACCATTAACAAGACGATTAACAATAGTTTGCTTTGGGACAAAAATACCAACAATCCTTCTAAAACTCTGAACCTCACTGTGTTCTTAGTATGATATCTGATTTTATATGAAATGTGAAATGAAAGAGAGAAAAGACTGGCTAGAACAAAATGTCTTAATGGGTTACAGGTACTTTATTGCCACCCCTGCATAAATTAGTGCCTCACTTGGGCCAACCCCAATCAAAAAAAGTCATACACACACACACACACACACACACACACATATATAGCTGTTTGGCCTCTGTTCTTACTACTATATAAGCATGAAAACAAAAGGTCAACTCCTCTCTAAACTCCATTAAGTTGATCAACACGGATTTTATTTTGAAAGGTTGCACCGGACGTCTTATATTGAATGGTAATGAACGGGATGAACGGGAACAAAACCGAGCAAAACACTTGACAAACAATCACGAAATCACGTGACCATGGCGGAGCGTTTCTCCCCCGACCAGAAGCGTGAAGATCAGAAAAAGTAAGAAAAGTCCAAATGTTTGATTATTAGCACGCGTTGATTCAAGCAGCTGTAAGAAACCAATGGCAGACTAACTGTTGAGAATAACTGTGGATTCACACGTGTCCTGCAGATGAGTGGCAGTCAGATCAACTCTTCATGTATGAATGAGCTGAAAGTTGCATAAGACTAATAAAGAAACTACTAAATAACACACACATTTAAATGGCAGAAGGTAAATTGTAGTTAGAGCTGGGATTATGTATTATTGGAAAATTATTGGGTTTTTTTTTAATGTATATAAAGTATGTAATGTAGCAACAACTGTAACAATAACATGTTCTGGCTCATGTGGATAATTGCTCACTATAATTAATAACGTTATACTGAGTTGATTGAAATGAAGTGGTAAAGGTAACCTTAATAGTAATGATGATTATAATAGGTTAATTACAAGAATAAGAAGATATAAAAGTGTTAGTTATAAATCAAGACACTATTAAAAGTAACTAAAATACATGAATGCGTGAAAAACATGGCTGCACTGTGAGTTGCTCTGCTGGGAAAAAGTTGTAATGTTTACCTGTAAATGACTCATAGTCAAGTTTAAAAGTACAGATTTGACCTCAGAAGCAGCAGTTAACAAAACAATCTCACTTCAAGGTCCATTGAGTGGCTTTCTTGGAGATCTTGAACTTGAGGCTATTTTTTAAGGTTAAAGTCTTATTGAAATAAACTACATCTGATGTTTCTGGCACCAAATTACTATTCAAAACAAATCTAACCTTGCCCCCAAAACAAAGGTGCAAATCGGGGGAAAAACGTAACTATGAAGAGAATAGAATAGAATTTTAAGTCAAACCAATTTTTCATTTATTCAGTTTTATTATGTTTTTTATTATTTTTGGTCATTCTTCTTAAATGTAACTTTTCTTTATTGCTCTCGGTCACACAAATTCTACATGAAATGTGACCCTACAAAGTGCATGTTTATTAGTATTGATTGTATTTATTGGTTTTGGTAAAGTGTAAACTAAACCTCAAAGGCACAGATCAGACTGTGTAGACATTAGTAAACCAATATTTCCTCAGCTATAAGTTCTGTGAGTTTGCATACACACTACACTTGTGTCTTTCCTGCAGGGACTTAAAGATGTCAGCAGTCGTAGTGGTGCATGGTGGTGCGTGGGCCATACCGGATGAGCTGGCCAAGGCCTCTGTTGACGGAGTAAAGGTCGCAGCGTGTGAAGGATTTTCAGTGCTGAAAGGAGGAGGCAGTGCACTGGATGCTGTAGAGGCAGCTGTGAGAGCTATGGAAGATAACGTTGTGTTTAATGCAGGTAAACTGTGCAGAATTATTTGTTAACCATAGAGACACAGTCACACACACATAGGCCTAAAAAACTACAAAGCCTAAAACTACAAGTACTCCAACCTGTCAGCACAGGAGCCGATCCCTTGGATTTATCTGTAGCGCACTGTCGCCATCTGCTGGTGGTGATGCCAACATTCATCTAGAATCAGTGTGTGTGAGTGTGAGTGGGGCTCATCCTCATCATCCGGCATTAATCACAGATTTAGTTTTATTTTATTTTACATTTGTAAACCAGTCTGTCCTGCCTGATGTATATTATATTTGCTCCTAAACCACAACAACAAACAACAATCCACAGGTTTTCCCACTCAAATTGTGTGTTAAGTGTTTAAGTGCCATCTACTGTTAGACATTGAAACAACTATTATACCATCACAATAAATATCCGCTCCTTAAATTAATGTTACATCTTTGGCAGACAACTTGAAATTAAAATTATTAGTGTGAACAGACACTCTGCTAACATGCTTTACATAGTTTTATACAATGAAGCTGCATTTAAACTACATTTTGGGCCTTAGAGGCATTTTAGGTACCGTATAGTGCATACAAAGTGGAATCAGTCCTTAGTATTGTACTCTTCTGCTTCTTTTGTACCGTTTTGTCACCACCCTGTGGACTTTTGAGGATATAGCAAAAAACATAAAACCTCTGCATGCACAGCTGGAAGAAAATCATATCTCAAGCCTGTCAATTCTCTCCCTCCCTCTGTCTTTTGTGGTTAGATATTATTTATTTTCTCAGCTTTAGCGAAGTTCCCTCCAGTTTACATGGATACTAAACACTTTCCTGGCACAATCAGCTCTGAGAACACCTGCATCATATTTTTGTCTGATCTATTGTATGAGCTAGTGACTGATTGTGACATTTAATTGTAGGGCATGGAGCAGTGCTAAATGCTGATGGGGAAATGGAGCTGGATGCCATTATCATGGATGGAAGGACACTTGGCAGTGGTGCGGTGTCTTCAGTGAAGAACATTGCCAACCCTGTGACACTGGCACGGGCAGTGATGGAGAAGGTGTCTTTAATAATTTGCTTTTGGCTCTCTTTGAAAGAAACAGCAGGAGATGCTTAGAAATGCACTGATTTGAATCCTTTTTTTTCTATAAAAGTTTCTAATTAATAATCAAATTACAATCTACTGAGTGGTGTTACCCATCAGTGAACATAATGAAATACATTCTCTATTTTACCTTTTCCTTGCATGTATTCTGCCATGGAAAATCTCAGACTGCCCACATCATGTTGACAAGCAGAGGTGCAAACCTGTTTGCAGAGAGCATCGGCACGGCCACAGTTCCCACTGACACACTGGTGACTGAGTATGAGAGGAAAGAATGGGAGAAGCGCAAGAATTATGTCACTGGAGTAATGGAAGATTTCAACGCTCAGTGGTAAGTATCTGCAGTGTTTGACTTTATTTTGACCCGTCCTTTTCTGGACTTAAATTTCCTTATAAATCTCCACACAGCATCTTTTCAGCCTGAATAGCCTGTTGTGACACCACCCTGAAATAAAATAGAGAAGAGAAATGCCCACATGGTCTAGTCAAAATGACTGCGGATAAACAAACTCATGGTGGATGTACTTTGTTTCTCATTCTAGGGTCCATGATACTGTTGGGGCAGTTGCTGTGGACTGTGCTGGCAATGTTGCATGTGCAACATCAACTGGAGGGATCAGAAATAAAATGGTTGGCCGAGTAGGAGACTCTCCGATTATTGGTATAACTTAATTTAACACACTTTATCAAATAGGCACCTTTTACACTTTCAACTGCAGTTTGAATTTTGAATTTAATGGAAATTAGAAAGTCATCATGAAGTCATCATGATCATAATGGAATTCTGGATTTTTCACATTATAAAATTACTTACTTATAAATTATTACACCTTAAGAGAAAATGTATCATTTATACTCTTGACTTGACTTTTTATGATTAACTTTTGTTGAGTTTAGCTTTTGACACCAGTGCGGGAAATTGAGCAGCTTTAGAAAAAAAGATCAAGTAGTAGTAGATTTAATGTGTTTTTTTCTTATTCTTTCTTGTAAATAAGGTTCTGGAGGATACGCAGACAACCTGAGTGGTGCAGTGTCTTGTACTGGTCACGGAGAGTCTATTCTCAAAGTCACACTGGCCAGACTCATTCTGTCACATGTTGAACAAGGTAACAAGATCACACTTTCAAAAACCTACTTCTTTTAACTACATATATCAGACTTCATCTTGTCTTAATTTAATCTGACATTCTGTTTTTTGGGATAATCATTAAAACACCAAACAGTGAAATAATAAATGAATAAGATTTAAATAGTGTTGTGAAGTTATTTTATTGTTTTATCAAATGAAAAAATAATGAAAAGTTATCTTGCCTGTCTACTCTAAGCTCCCACTTTGATGTAGATTTAGCTGTTTTACCATTCTGGCTTACTGACGTTTTTTTTTGTCTAATCTGAAAATGGCATCAATCACATTTTACATTTACATTTTATTTATTAATACATTTCTCTATTTGTTGTGTATTTATTCCCTAACTGTGTTTTGATAGTTAACTATTTCCATGTAATTTTATGTATTTCCTCTTCCCTACGCAGGTAAATCAGTGGCAGATTCTTCACAGTTGTCTCTGCAGTACATGGCAGACCGTGTCCGAGGTGCGGGAGGCGCTATTGTAGTTTCCCCATCAGGACAGTGGGCAGCCACGTTCACCACTGATCGAATGGCTTGGGCTGCAGTGGATCAAGATGTTCTGTGGTATGGATTAGATCCAAAAGAAAGATTTAAAGAGCAGTTATCACAATAACAATTTTAAGTTTCAACCTTATAAGTCATAGTATTGAGCAATGTAATAGAGAACTGTATTTCACGTGTTTTCTACTAATTCACTATGATTTAGAACACTTGGTCTTTCTTGGTGGATTTTTGCTGCTATTGTTTGTATCCAAATCAACTGAGTAGTGTTTCTTCTTTCTAACCTTTGATGTCAAAGCTAGATTTGTTATGTATTAACATTGAAACATAAACTGTAAAAGATGGATAAGGTAGATATTACAGTATGTAAGTCTCAACACCTTTGTTATTTTAGCAAATAGTCCATTTATTGAAATGTCTTTAAAGGCTCAGTGTGTAGGATTTAGTGACATCTAGTGGTGTAATTGCAGATCACAAGTCTGTCACTACATCCCCTTCCAAAAGCAAATGAGAAACTACATTGGTCAAGAAACGTGTTCGCCCCCCCATCTACAGCCAGTGTTTG